TGCTCCTTGGAAACCCTATACAGGGTTGCTATGGGTCAGAACCAACTCAATGGCACTTCACAACAACAACAACATATTATATATATTTAATATAGTATTTAATATAATATAGAGAGAAGCAGCTCTGGTAGCGCAGTGGTTATGAATTGGGCTGCTAACCTCAAGGTAGGTAGTTTGAAACTACCAGCGGTTCCACTGGAGAAAGAGGAGGCGTTCTTCTCCCATAAATATTTACAGTCTCGGAAACTCTGTGCAGGGTACTATGAGTCAGAACCGACTCCACAGTACTTAACAACAACAAATCTATATATAGAGAGAGCTTTATGTTAAGTCTGTGGAATCTGTTCTGAAGAGTGGCTGGTGAACTTGAACCACTGACCTTGTAGTCTAGTGCATTAACCCACAGTGCCACACCAGGATTCCCACTAAGAGGTAATAATACAAAATTTGCCATTCCCAGGAATCTAATATGCATATGTAAATGATTTTTGTAAGTCAGACTTGAGTTTCTTTTGACTGTATAGACTGCTGAGAAAAAGAATCATACATAATCCAATCAAAATTGGAACCCAAACACCCAATCTTTGGTGGTTTTCAGTAGATGTGGACACGCTCTCTATAGCCATGTACTTGTGCTGATTTAGATGAGGGAGGGAGGGCTGTATCTCCTGGGTAGACTGGTGCTCACAGCATTTGCTCTTGCTGTACCCAGTTCTAGAAGGTCCTCCTTCCTATCTAGACATATACTACGTTACTTTTGCTCCAAATTCTATTTTCTCTAGGTGGTCATCACTGAACAGATATTTCCTCAAAACTCAATCATCAGCATTGTGTGTACGGAGATGACTTAGTTCTCCTTCCTCCCCTCAACAGCTTTCACTCTTCTTTCTCTCCATACCCCTCAAGTTGTTCCTTAATGAAACAAAGCCTTATCTAATCATGCTTTATTACTTCAGGGGTCTCAGCTTTGTTTTCTCTTTGGGATTGTCCAACCAACTGGTACAGGACTTTCGGATGTGTTTCTGAATCTTCACAGTACCCAGTTTATTCTGCGTAAATGGGACAGGGTACTTAATAGGTCTGTGATGATGGATGATGGATCGATTGAATGGGCAGATGGATGGTTCTAAAGAGATGATTGATGAGTAGATGGATGAATTAATGGATAGCGTGGGAGAAAGGAATGGAGGATGACAGCTGCACAGACATAAAGGGAAATGAGGTCATGGAGGAAATGCCCAATCAGCCAAAGAAGTAATGATGAAACCTTTAGCCAGCTTGACTTTCTTCAGGGTCTGTAATGTATGTTGGGACTAATACCAACCTTTATCTTACATTGTTTTCCTCTCTGGGCCCTTTTGGGTAGTTCCCGTGGTTCTTATTGACTTACCTGAGGCTTGGGAACAGGAGCATGAGGAATAGAAGAGGAGGTTCAAATAGCTTAATTTGGGGACTGTTTGTAAGAGAAGGGCTTGGTGGAAAAGGACAGGGGTGGATAGTTGAAGCAATAGACAGAAACAAGCAGTTGGGATTGCCTAATTGTGAGAATCATCTGGTTATCTAAATCTCTCAGGATTTTAGACAATTGAGAGTAGGGAGTTAAATAAGAGGGAACAAAAGCCCTGGAGAATCCCCAGTTGGGGAAGTGACAGCTGTAGGAGCAATCAGCTCTTAGGCAACTGGTTTGATTATTGTGATCAAACATTGTTATTGTTGTTAAGTACCGTTGAGTCAGTTCTGAGTCACAGAGACCCTGTGTAGGGTTTCTGAGGAGCAGTTGGTGGGTTTGAACTGCTAACCTTGTGGTTTGAAGTCCTACAGCACCTCACCAGGAGATCAGATGTTTGCTAGTGGGGATGCATGTGTTGAGTATGTGATGTTTGCATAGATTGCATAGGTACATATTTTGTTAACTTCAAAATACTCTGGCTTTTTCTTTTATTTATGAAATTCTTCCCAAAATCTTCTCCACATCTTTTGTCTCTTGGAGTGTGTTCTTTCCATTATGATTTGCTTGCCAGAACGCTTCTTCTCTGTAGTACAGAGCATTTTTCATGGGTTTCCCCACGCTTCCTGGATGCCTTTTCCTTGATCCTGTCAACTAGATAGACACTGTCCCCCCTGGTCCTTGTGGTCTTCCCATTTGCTGTCAATGTAGCACATAGCTCTGTGCTATAAAACACATTCCTCTGATACTTTACTCTGGTCTGAACACCCAGAAGCGCATCTCCCCAAGATTCTCCACTCCCTGTCCTCACACACCCATCTCTTCTAGGGCCCTGGCTTAAGGAGTGGATAAAACATCTGGAGGATTGTACAAATATTAAAATAACAGAGTAATCATACTGAACAGAGTAATGCCAGAGGAACTGTATTTTAATTGTCTGGGAAACCGGAGCAGAGAGGAAGGGTGATTGGAAAGAGTGTCTGGGCATGCCACCCAAGTTTCCAAGAAGCTGACAGGGCAATGTAAATACATGTCAACACAGATGATTAGACAGTTCTGAAACAGATCCTTGTCAGAGATGAAAACTGCAGCTACTAGTTACTGAGAGGGAGAGATCTAGGAAGCCTCCATCTTTTGTCCAAAGTGGCTGCATCGAGAAGCACGGATGAGTAGGCCTGGACAGTTGGATGTCTCAGGGAAATGCCCACGGGATGGTAAACTGGAGTAGATTCATGCTTGCTTCTCTTTTGGGGACGCATCCTCTGGCGTGTGCCTGGAACCTATTTCTGTTTGGATTTTTGGCACTGCTGAGGGGGTGGGCACTTCTGTTGGCACTTGGGTGGAGGCTGGCAGACCTGCTTGGTCTGCTGAGGTGGGGGGCAGCACTGCTGTGGGGGAGCACACTGCTGGGGTGGGGGGCAGCACTGCTGTGGGGGAGCACACTGCTGGGGTGGGGGGCAGCACTGCTGTGGGGGAGCACACTGCTTCTGCTTCTGCTGAGACATTCTGGACAGGACTTGCACCTGGAATCAGAAAAGCCTAGAGGTGAGGAATACTTAATCAGTAGAGGCTTTTGGAGCCCAGAATGAACACTCTTGCCACATCCCCATCCTGTTCTGTTTTTCCCTGGTCCTGATTGCATCACAAACCAAGTGTGTGTGAGTGTGTGCATGGGAGCTCCAATTTTCGCTGCATGCTTGCAAGCCATTTCAATTCTTTTTGAGATGGACAGTGAGACAGTAAAAGAAGAAAAGGAAGGAAGGATGAAAGGAAGAAACGGAAGGAAGGCAGAAATGGAGGAAGAAAAACTGGGAAATAGAAAAAAGGAGGGAGGCTGGAAGCAAAAAAAAAAAAAAAAGAAATAGAAAGAGAAGAAAGGGAGAAGGGAGAAAAAGAGAGTTTAAGAAGAAAGAACAGGGAAAGGAGAATAAAAACTTTCTCTCTTTTTGGTGCCACCCAAGTTTCTAAGAATTTTTGGCAAAACTATGGCATAAAGAAGAGGATTCCCGGCAATGCGAATCTTGGCTAAACTGTTTACCAGTTGTGTGACATAGGTTTTTTGTGAGGGTTAAAGGAATATATAAACACATACGTACATGCAGATAGACAGAGAGGGAAATAGCTAGCTAGCTAGAGAGAGAAAGAGAGAGAGAGAGAGAAATTTGTGTGTCATTATGTAGATTCTGACTCACAGTGACCCTATAGGACAGAGTAGAAATGCCCCACCCTCTAATTTACATAAAGGTTACTAATCTTCATGTAAGTGGGTTGCCACATCTTTCTCCCATGGAGTTACTGGTGGACTGGAACCAACCACCTTTCAGTTAGCAGTCTAGATCTTAACCAGGCACCACTAGGGCTCTCTGTTTCTATACACACACACATACACACGTACACACAGTGCCTAGTACATAGTGATTACTGTATAAGAGTTTGAATTAAATTATTAAAAAATGAAAAAGACAGCAAAGAGCACCTTTAAAAGGATGTATAGAAATGAAGTATCAAGAGATAATATGAATCAGTTTGCTGAATTCTATTAAATTAAACTCTATTAAAGCAAAGCTCCGAGGGGGAAATAATTGTTCCACAGTCACCCAGCACACGTTGGTGGAAACTAGTTTTTGGATTCCCAGAGCAAAACTTGCCCACTATGCCCCATCGTCATGACCCTGCTCATCAGCCCTCCCAAGGTAGTCTGCTTTTCCCCTTTCCTCGCTTTTCTTCTCTCTTAAAGGGTAACTGCCACTTGCTCTTTGCCAAGACTGATGCACCCCATTCCTTTCACCTATACCCTATGGCACCTTGTAAGATGCGAGCCCTGACACCATGCCAGCCAGATCCTTAATATACTAGCCCTCTTGGCAGACTCTTCTCTGCTTTACCAGCCTGTCTTCTCTCACCCCTCAGCCAGATGACTTGTAGAATCCAAGACAGCTTAGTCACAAGTAATATGGAAGAACAAGTCTCCTAAATGAGGTCTTTCAGACCAACCACCCAGAGGTCCATCCCCCAGACAGGAGCTGGGACACCTCTGGAGTAAATTTCTGAGAGGCACTACTTCATCAGACTCACCTAAGTTCACCAGTGACTGGAGCGTTGGAGATGTCAAGGTATTGGGGATGCTCTGAGCCTGCCCACATTTTATACATCTCCCATCCCTGCCCGAGGCCATGAGATGGCCTAGGACTGGGATGCCCTAATTAGTTCTTTGTCACAATAAGATCCACCTGCCCTTCCTCAAATTTTAGGTTTTACTCACCCTCGGGTCTGGTGGCCTCCCTCTTGGCCTAGCAGGACGCAGGGATGACAGTCTTCATTCTCGCCTTCGCCCCACCTCTCCATCATTTTACAAGCCTACCTTCCTTGGATTTCCAAATCCACTTGTGTCTTTTGACTTAGGACCTTGGCATCTGGGATGGTTCCAAGCAAGCATTCAGGACAATGTTGGGTGTGAGGGTTGTGGGGGCAGAGTTCTGGGATAATTTGCTTGACAGAGGGGAGGGGGTGGGCAGGGTGGAGTATGAAGGTAACATTGTTTTAAGGACAATTTAACAGCTGAGGGGGCGAATGGCTCTCTTGGAAGCCCATTAAACTCTGCAGTTATGACTTTGATTTTACCTAGGCTCAGAGCCACATTTAGTTTGAAATAGTGGAAAGATAAGACAAATCGCTCTACGTTTTTCACCCTGTTATAATTTTGCTACTGAATGGAGGCTGCCCCTCTCTCTCTTGACATTGAGAAAACCATTAAGTTCCCTTAAGAGAAACTGGGTGGTTACAGTAGATGGTGTTTATCTCTTTATCACTCTACATATGTATAAGTTACTCAGACGCCAGGGTTCCCAGGAAAATGATTATCATAGGTGGAGGGGGTGGGGGGAATAAAGAAGGATTGCATTAGTGTAAGGTCATGGAGGAGTTACCTTGGCTGGGTCCTGGCTTCTGAGCTCTGAGACTCCTAGTCCTGATTCTTCCTCCCCACTCCTCTGTTCAAGACGCTACAACAAAGAAGAAATGCAGTCTTGGGTGCTTCTCATAGCTGACAAAATATGAACATATCTCTAAAAATGTTCAAGTGGAGTTCAGATTGGGATTCTGCCCTTTGTCAGTCTGGTGAGCTTGGACACTTAATATCATTCAGCCTCAATTTTCTCATTTGTCACAGAGGATAATAACACTGTTCTGCATGTCAGTAGGAAAGGATAAAATAGACAGTGTACATAAACTGTGTATATAGAGTCTGGCACAAAGTAAGTGCTCAGCAATTGTTGGATGCTTTGTGGAACTGGACGCTAGGGCAAGATACCATTTAAGGAGTATGGAAGAGGTAGTTGCACAGGTTTGAAAGCAAGTGGTGACACCTGCCAGCCAGGATCATAGGATCTTGGTTGAAAGATATGGAAGCAGGCAAGCTAGTCCAGAGGATGACACATTTTAAATATCAGGCATGGGATTGTGCATGGCTTTACTGAAAGCCTATAAAATCCCAAGATCTTGGTGAGTAATGCCACAACACTGGAAGCCATAGTCTTGGGAACCAATAGTCTCTCCCTTACACCATGGTCCAATCCCACTAGAATCATGGGCAGTGTGCGTGAGGTGACTGAGGAAGACTAAAGAAAGCCAGGCCCTCCTAGACAGAATAGCCCTTCAACGACGTCACCCTGACAGAAGCAGCGCCAGATGGCCTTAGGAGGGGGTTTAAGCACAAGTCCTAATAGCAGAGAAGAAAAGAGACCTGGGATTCTTATCTCTGGGATTACTGTGTATTCATCAAGATGTGCTGCATTCATGCTATGTACCAGGAACATAGTGGTGAGCCAGGATGCCAGGCCCCTGCTTTTCACCAAGTGAACACAGAGCAGAAGGGGCCCCTGTTTACCAAACCTCCTTTGCGAATCAGGTCTGTGTAAGTGAGAACGGAAGTAAAACTGTTTCAAATCCTCCTGTCTTCCTTCTTCTTCTCCCAGCTCTGCTAGACATTGTTTAATTATTTAGCCTGAATTAGCTCAAGAACTGAAACCCAATTGTCCCTGGATAGCTAGAGAAAGTGTGAACATCATCTAATTCATGGTTTTTGAGGCACTGGTGGTGGTGGTGGTGAAGTACCATGCAGTTGATTCTAACTCATAGCAACCCTATAGGATTTCTGAGGAGCAGCTTTTTGAGGCATTAAGTCCTGGTAAATCTTTTCTTGCACATGATCTAACCATTCAGAATAGACATTTTGTGATGGAACCAAATACCTGAAGAATATATCATACAATATTATCTATACTATCAAAGAAGAAAAAGGAATGGATAATTAATAAGCCACAAATAAAACCTAATGCTTATCCTGGGTTTGGAGTGGTGTCATCTACTGACTTTCTTTGCGTTGCTTTTCTAATGTTCTGTCTCTGTCTTATATACACACACATACACGTACATATACATTCATTTAAACACATATGGGTACTTACAGGACATAAAGTCAGCACTCAGTGAAGCTGATGAGCTAGAATGGAAAATATCTTAACTAAATTCCAAAACATATGTACATATTCACTACATACCATTGGTCCATATGGACTGGCATATTATTGTCTACTTCCTTTGTCTCTCCCCATATCCTTAGACTTTGTATTAACTCTTGAGGAAATTGTTCTTCCTCAGTATTTCCTTTGGTGCCTATGTGATTCTCATTGCATATGGATGGACTAATGAGCCTCATGAGTGTTAAGGCCATGGGGCTGAGAGCTATGCACTGGAGGAAGAAGGTGAGTGGGAACTCTACCTTCAAGGAGGCCTCTGATCAGAAAACACATACCCATCTCCTTCAGTTTTAGTTCTAAGTATCTGTTACCAAATTAAGCCTGAGAAGGACCAGGAGGTAGCTTTGATGAAGTTTGAGGAACTGAGTTTAGCAAAGTTTCTTTTCAGTTAGCAAATAGGTAAGAAGTAAATGCCAGGCCAAGATCAGGGGGGAACCACTGACACACAGACTCATTCATCAAGAAATTATTATCTTCTTGGCAAGGTAAGTTGAGCCCAATGTGACAGGATTTCTGGAACTGGGAGGCTGACACCATGAATCAATCCTAAGGGATGATATAGAATAAAAGATGCCCAGGACTTAGAGGAGAGGGCCTCCCCATGGACGAGGCCTGGATTTGACAGCAAAAGATCTGGGAGGGCAAGAAAAGTTTCTAGACTATGGGCTACTTAAAGGGAACAAAACAAAACACTGACTTCTTCATATTATAATAACTGGCAAATTAATTTTTGTGAATTAATAAGGCATCCATTCAAGGCAGGAGATGTAAATTGATGAAAAGTTTGAAGGTGAGAAGATACTTTGTGTCTTTGGGGTGGTGGGAGAAAACTAACTCAATTGTAGTAGATTATTGTGTTGTTGTTGTTAGGTGCCATCAAGTTGGTACCAAACCACAGTGACATTATGCACAGCAGAACAAAACACTGCCCTATCCTGGGCCAACCGCACTACTGTTGCGACGCTTGA